TAATAATAATAATAATATGTTTCGATTTATTAATCGCTCAACCCTGCAGAGCTGCTGGCTCTGAGCGATTTACAGTTACACATTGACGAGGGACTAACAATGATTCATAGGGGGTAAGGGAGGACAACATATAAATCTTTTAAGTTGCACACATTTGCAGCCGACGGGGATTTTTGTTCAGCTGTAGGCTCAGACGTGTTCCAGACAGCAATCACTCGGCTTTAAGGTGCAGAGATGGGGAATGCTGTACTTGTAAAATGTCTGCTGGTCATGCTGGGGGTTTTTAAGCGTATAGGACGGTTTGAGACCAAAAAGTAAGTAACCCAAGAGGAAACCAATACCAACAGCAGGGCAGTCTGCTGAAGGAAACTGTAGCTGACACCAACCCACTCAGGGGCAAACCGGGCTTGTGGCCACATTTCTGCGTTTTGATGGGCATCTCACTAGGATGACCTCCATAAGTCCTTGGAGGGTCTCAGTCACTCCTTATTTGTAACTAATCCTTATCCACTTTGTTTTCACTGTCTGGACTTCCTCTGCCGAAAGAGGAAGTGCTGAATAGTCAGGAATCTGAGAGGCGTTGCTGGTGCTTCCTTTGAACATTATCCGCAGAGTCAGCATCTTGGCAGGCTCCCTTCCAACTATGAAACCTGAGCACTCCGGCTCCCTCTGGTGGCTTGTGCAGACGTTGCCATCATCTGAACTGCATGTCCAGTTTTTTTAGATTTCATAAAAGTATTGAAATATTTGTGGGCTAGTTTTGCAGAAAGCTTAGAGGACAGAGAAGAGTCCATGCAGGGCTTCCAGTGCAGAAGGAGGGACTCAGTTATTTTACCTTCTACAGTTCCCTGTGCATTCTTTGTTAACCTTTGCTCTCTTTCGTCTCTTCACTCACTGCCCACTGAAAGGCCGCGGTGGCTCAGTAGTTAAGTGGCTGAACTGCAGACCGGAAGGTCGGTAGTTCAGCAGTTCGAGACCCGAGTGCCGCGTGACGGAGTGAGCTCCCGTCTCTGGTCCCAGCTCCTGCCAGCCTAGCAGTTCGAAAGCAAGAAATTGCAAATAGATAAATAGGTACCGCTTCGGTGGGAAGGTAACAGCGCTCCGTGCACCTCGGCATCTAGTCATGCCGGCCACATGACCATGGAAACGTCTTTGGACAGCGCTGGCTCCTCGGCTTGGAACCGGAGATGAGCACCGCACCCTAGAGTCGGATGCAACTGGCTTTCGAGCAAGGGAAACCTTTACCTTTACCGTACCAATCTCCCCTTGCTATGCACAGCCTCAGGGGAGTGTGTAGCAGGTGAAAGGCTCAGCTCACGTAGAACACTGGGGAAGCCCAGGAGGCCAGCTCAGGGCTCCTCAGCGTCTTCTACAAGGAACAGAGGTTTCCTCACCAGGCTAGATTTGGAAAGAGCTCCTTAATGACAGAACACTGGAAAAGCCACTGACCTGTGGTCAGTGTGTTCCTGTGTGTGTGATATGGCTCAGTCTTAGACTGTCCCTGGACAGATAATTTGGCACACTGGCAGAGAATTAGGCATCTGCCTCACCTTTTGGTGGGTGGTGAACCAAAATAGGCCGTAGACTCCACCTGCCTTCAAAGTGTTTGTATTTCTCTTTCCTGCCTGTAGATCAGACACAATTTGTCAGAGGTTCTCCTTGCAACAATGAACATTTTGTTCACCCAGTACAAGAGGCTGAAAGGTACCAGCCCTGCCACTCCCGCCAGGCCTCAGCGGGTTATTGAGGATCGAGATTCGGTAAGATTTTCTTTCTCCCGTTGTTGTAGGGTTTTGTGGTGGGTTTTTTTTTAATTGGTAACAGTTTTCCTGACAGTAACATGAAAGGGTCGAATTCTTAGCACTTAATGTTAATTATTTTAATATTAAAAGGGGCTTTGTGAATCCTCCCTTTTATTCTGGCAGCTCTGCTCCTGTGAGGAAAAACCCTTGAATGGTCCCACTTTTAAAGGGGAACTGAGTTCTAAGAGGAGCTGATGAAGGGCCACCCACTGAGGTCGGGGTGGACCTGAGATTTGAACACAGATCCCTAGTCCCAACTCTGGATCTGGAACTTAGATCCCTGCCTCATTGTCCCACAACACGAGGGCTGCTTCTGGCATTTAAATCCACTTCTTACATAGCCCACCCAGCCCTCAAGGCGGCTGTATCATTTTGGAGGGAACTGTGGATAGAAAAGTGGCTGGGGGAAATTTTAAGGCCAGCGCTGGACACCGGACTACTTCAGTCCTCAGGGATGGATCCCTCCGATCCCTCCTGCTAGCAGAGGCATCATCCTCCATCAGAAAGGAGCCTTGTCCTGATGCATGAGGCCCTCCAACCTCCTCCTGCTGGAGAGGAGGGCCTGTGGCAGTGGGATGGATATGCGGGGACCCGAGCCTGTCTTGGATCAAGCTGTCATTCATACCTCTGCATGGGCAGGTGGAAGGGACTCTGCTGGGGATTGAACAGGTGGCCTTTGAGCTCCTTTCTCCTTTGGAAACATTATTTCCACCAATTTGGAGATTTTATTTACTTACCTCATCTATATCCCATCTTTCTCCCCAACAGGGACCCAAAGTAGCTCCCGTCATTCTCCTCTCTTCCATTTCATCCTCTGGGCCCAAAAGAGACAGTGTCTTCTCCGTTTCTTCAAATCTCGTTTTTGCTCCCAAGCACCCTTTTGGAAATTTAGAAAAAAATCTTCTCAACCACACATCTGTATATCTCCACCCTCCCCGTCATTTAATTGGGCACAGTTAAGATCAGATGAGGGTGCCCCCCTCCCCCCAATTGTAGTGCAGCCGCTTCAGCCACATGTCCACATAAATTGAGGATTTGTTTGGGGATTTTCATGGGTGCTGAAGGGCATTCTTTTACTGGCTGAAAGAAGAAGCAGAAAACAATTAGCATTGAAAGATTTAGTGTGGTGTTCCTGTTTTTTGGTCTTTGGCTGAATAATTATTGCGACTGGAACACCCGGACCTCCAGGCTTCCTTTAACCTTTGTGGAGAGACCAACGGTGATTGTTTTTGAATGGGGGGGGCACTCATTAGACATGCCGGTCTGTTTAGAAGGCTAATGCTCCGTCCTGTTCTGTTTAAATGCACTTTTTTTTTTCCAGGCACAAAATAATAAGGCTGTGTTTTGTTTGACTTGATTGTAGACACTTCTGGCCTCCTTTGTCAGGTTCAAGGTAGCTTTTAAAATATTAAGGCATTAGCTAAAAATACACAATCAATAATAAACCAGCATAGCAGCCATAAAGTACACTGTATTTTATGGTTGTTATGTGCTGAGTCTCACAATAAAACAGTGCCGTTAGCCAGGCAAGCCAAAAGCCAAATAGAAGAGTTGCATCTTACGGCCATTCCTAAAAGTGACTGAGGACCCACAGATTTCTGGGTCAAATCCATCAGCGGCCGTGGGGCAATTGCTGTAAAGAGCCTGTTTCTTACCATGCTGGATCCTTGCTAAAGTTGGAACACACAGGAGGGCCTGACTCTAATGTAATTGGAATGGTCCTTAAGATACACGAGCCCCAGGTGACAAAGGACTTCAGAGGCTAATAGCAGCACATTTAAATTGGTCCTGGAACCATAGACAGAGAAGTACAGGTGGCTCAATCTAGGCTGGATATCGAATTGAGTTCCAGCTCATGAAATTTCATGCTGGAATAAGCGCTGTTAGTCTTTTAAGCTGTCATACGACTTCTGTTTTATTTTGCCATGATAGATTAACCTGGCTGCCATGCTAGACTTATCAAATTGCAGCCTCTGGCATTTTGGATCTTTTTTTACTGGTTATAATATATAATACTAGTTGGTTTATAGGCAGATCTTTGGAAGTGCTTCCAAGATACCAAAGTATATGCATGTATTTCATGTCTTAAATTGCATCGTGCCCTTTGTTTGAGAAGCATGGGCAACTATCTGTGGGGATTATCATATTTCCCAGCAACCATGTGAGGTGTATCAGGCTGATCAAAGGAGAACCAGCTTTACAACCATGTGAGGTATATCCATGTGAGGTATATCAGGCTGATCAAAGGAGAACCAGCTTTAGACCCTATCAAGGCAGCTTTTCAAGAGTTTGAGACCAGCTCTGTCATCTGCACCAGGCTGCCACTCCACACTCTGTCTGCTGTTGGTGACAGCAGTGCTTATCCATAGGCAGTTCAAGGCAGTGAA